CCAAACTTAGAAAGTCTGCTTTGATGGTGGACTTTATCATTTTTTAACTCCTGGTTTGAGAACTAATATGTGAAAATGATTTTGCTCTGTGATTTGTTTTACTGCATCATGGGAGGGTGAACTGTTTTGAGGGCTGAAATTGACCATCGAAGGCAAAACATTTTCTGTTCCGTGCTGTAAAAATGCTTTTATTGCTATAAGTTGGGCATTTTAACACGGGAGCCTATGCTGATTGAAAGTAGCTATAGAAAACAAGAACTGGTAGGATTAAGTACACTTTTTCTATCATAACCTAGAGAGGAACACAATGAGAAATGCAACACAAAAAGGTGACAGAAAAAGACTATTATACTTGAAAGTACAGCGTGCAGTGGAAGATAAAAGGTGTCTGTGAGCTTCCTGTATTTAATGAACCTCTAAAAGCTTTTAAAAGTTCACAGCATTGTGTTTGTGTTTCAGGAAGCGTCGTGGAGCCATCAACAGCAAACAGCTAACCTACCTGGAGAAATATCGATCTAAGCATAGGCTCCGTTTCAAAGACTCCCGCAAACACAAGAACAAATGCTGCATCGTATGAACACATGCACACACACACGCAGGCACACACACAGAGACATTTCTCAGGAATTCAGCAGTACAAGGCTTCAGTCATTGTCACAAATACTAAAAACAGAGGCGTCAGTGCCCATGTTGAATCTTAAAAAGTTTTTCTTCTTTGTTTCCCTTTCTTTTCTTTTAATATGTTTTTTTTTATTTTTGCTTATTTGCTGTAAACAAACAGCTGCAGGATGGATAAAGGACAGGAAATCATTTTAAAAAGTGTTATAGAGGATTGTTTTTACAATATAATTCTGCAGGGAATTTAGCTATGAGCTGCATGAGCCACATTCAAATGTTCAACCGAACAAGTCCTGAAACTTATACAGATGTGGGGTGAAACTTTGATTCTGTTGTCCCTGGTGACTGGTTTTCAGCACCTTAAGTCTGACCCGACTTTAATGAATGTTTAACACTATCGGGATATAAAATTGTAAACAGTTAAATTTGTGTTTCTTTTATTTTTTCTTTCTTTTTGGGCTTAAAAACCCTTAAAAACATGTTTTTAACAATTTGGAGAGACTAAAATTTTATCAGGTTTAATCCAAGGGTAATCTTAGCCTGAGGTATTAGTCTCACCCTAGCGCAAATGTTGCTGTGCATTATTAAATGATCCAGTCTAGTTTAAAGTTTTATTATTTTCATATGTATCGGTGTGGAGTTTATTTCAGTTGTATTTTACCTGAATGATGCATGTAAACAATCACTTTGAAAAAATCATTTAAAAATCTGTTTTTGATGATGATGATAACAGAGCATGCACTTTTTATGCAAAAAGTAGAGTCCTTATGACAGTCTCTTTTATTGTAAAAGCATCTTCAACCTGAATTGATATACATAAATTAAAATGCATGAAAAACTAAATGGACAATGAAATAGGCAGAGGGTGTAAAACTGAAGTTAGGAGGAGGGAAAATGTTAATAGGATCTAGCAACCCTTTGATTTACAATCTTTACCTGAAAGCATTTTAAAGCAAATGGCAAATATTTTCTTGTTCACATGACGTGTGTGCATATTTGTTTGCTTGTGTGCGTGTGTGGGTGTGGGTATATGGGGCGGCCTCTATACATTGTTTACTACTGGGGCAGGCCTGAGCTGACACTTTTTTATGTAAAAAAAAACAAAAAAAACAAGCTGTAAATGATAGTCTGTAAATTTTTTGCATTGTTTAATAAATGTTATGCCATTATCTTTGTATGTAGTGCGTGGTGTTTGTTGTCAGTGTTTGATTACATCATGTAATAATTCAAAGATTCGCTCTTCCTGGCAATTTAGCTGTTGCTAATAAACGAAATATATTGTAGACAAATTCAAAACACCAGAAACATTTTTGTCAAATATTCCTTAAATTCCTGAAATTATTAATTAGTCTGCACTTTTGATCTACTTTGACTATGAGTGCGTTAATGAGTCCTAAATGGTAAAAACAGCCACCTTTAATTGCTATGAGCTCTTTATGATTGACTTAACTCTCACTTAGAGCTTCTTCTATTCTTACATATTATTATGTTCAGTGTCTCTTTATATAATATCCATGCCTGTAAACAACATGATGGCTTACTAGGGATATGTTGTGAAACACGTTTTTTTCTTTGACAAATATTTTAAAAGAAGAAAATGAAGAAACAAGGAAAGTATAAGTATAAGTATATTTACTGTTTTTGTACAATGACACATTTCTGACTATATTTGTATAGGTATATGATAAATAGCACAGAATCTGTAACACGTTCGTTTTTTTTTTTATCTCTAGTCTTTTCGAGGTCCGAATGTGCAAGCGAACAGCCAGGGGCGCTTTTTGGTCGCTTCTATCGCGTTCGGTATGTATGCACCGTTAGCCTAAACGCGCTGCTTTGCGCTGCAGTGCGGTCCTCCTGCCACAGAGGGCGATGTCTGTTACAGTGCTGCAGCTCCAGCAAACTTCCGCTGGCCTGAAGGATTTGTGCCGCAGATTCGACAGAAATGTGTGTCTTTATTCAGTAAAAAATAGACTCTAAATCACGATTTAGTGAATAAATTTATTCGCATATAGGTTCTGGCCTGTATATAAATTAGTTTTACTTCGCTCGTTGGTCGCTGAGGGAAATGGATGGACAAAAAGCAGGTAAGAAATTTGGCTAGCTTCAACTCGAATATGTTTTTCGGGTCTTCATGTTAACTCGGGCCAAATCAAAATAAACAGACGTGCATGGTTAAAAAAAAAGGGCACCGTTTCATTTGGCGGTTTTTAATATTATGCTCAAACTATGGACACTATACAGAAAGAAAAGTACAAATAAGCTACAAACCGTAACCTGTTACGTTAACACACAGTGTCACCTGACTCCACGGTCAATGTAGTTCCCACACTTAAATCAGCATTAAATGACAAATTATACACGTGTACTTTACTATAGCAATAATTATCATAGAAGTTAACAACGTCTGGTTAGACGATCTGGTTAGTTTGGGAGTGGCTTTTAAGCTATTGTTCCTGTAATAATATGTTTCATTTGAGGTGGATTGGGAGTTGAGAGAAAACCGATTACTTGTTTGTTATTAATCTTTTTACATTTTCCAGCAGATTACATTCATGCAGCATATAACACGGTAAAATTAGCCAATATCCACCCCACAATTTCTCATATTGCCGCAAAATGTATCTTCTCTGTGCTACAAATATTAGTTAATTAACGCATAAACCTCTACGGTACAAGAAAAAAAAACCACGACGAGATCAACTTATTTAACAAAAGGCTCTGGATATGTCACCTTTTCTCTCTGTGTCCCCAGCTGGTTCTGTGTTTATGTGTCGCCTGTGCAACGTCTTTTCTCCAAGTCGCTCCCAGCTACTTGCACATTGCTCCCAGCTGCACCCTCAGCAGGAGCCTCTAGATGACATCATTATTGCGCTGCAGCCTCTTGTGGCAGATCCTGTGGAGAAGCTGGCAGGTCAGAGCACCACCACATCACCACTATTACTATCACAAAAAAAGACCTTACTCAGGTCTGTAAATGTTTTGACTTTTGGCTACACAGACAATGATTGCAGAATAATGTCTTTGTTGATGCTGTTCTCTTAGGTGGATGTGTTGCAAGAAATGAAAAAACAAAAACAAAACAGTGCTGCCTTTTTTTAACTGTTCTGTTGGATTATTGGCCCACAGAGACCCCGGTGAAGCGAAAACGAGGAAGACCAAAGGGCTCTACGAAGAAGATACGCACAGATTTGACAGAGGGCACGACCATTTCCAGCCATTCTCCAGAGAATAACTCCAGAGAAGAAAAGAGAAAAAAGGAGGAAATTCAACAATTTAGTTCAGCAGAAGGTGGTATTGTTGCCTTATACAGTGTAAATCAATCTTTTGTTACCTGGTAGTACTGGTCTGCAGACTGCTAACTGATTATATTATTTGGATAGCTGGTTCTTGTTTTGTATTCCTGATTAGTAATGTAGCTTTGCTGTTACTAATCTGTGGTACATATGTTTTTGTAATAATGTTTTTTTTAGTACAAAAAAATGATGGGATATCAGGCCTGGAATGTAGACACTGCCATCGCTCATTCAGCAACAGGCGTCAAATCCTTAAACACATCTGCCTAAGAGAAGAGGATGAAGATGCAGATGAGGAGGAAAATGGTGAGGAATCAAAGGGCACAAATGTGAAATAATTTATCAGCAGGAAAGTCAATGCCTGCCGCAGATGATTTCAAAGAACAGTTAGTTGGAGAGCATGCTAGAAATGTTGCTTGAAGACTGTTAAATCTTTCCACACACACACTGAAGATGTTAAAGTAGATCTAGTTACTGTACCTAACATTTGAAGTTTATCAATTTAATACACACAATAATTTTCAGGGAGCATCTCTGGTACAGCAGAAGGTGAGGGAATGGAAAATGTGGATCCCGGAGGAGTTGATCCAAACCAGAATAAACACAACCAGACACAATCAGGACTTGATCGAGAAAGCAGTAAGATCATGATCGTAGTTTCTTAAAATCATTATTGGAAGAATAATGATCTGATCTATCTTTTGTTCTCTGTTTATAGAAGGGGGAAACTCTAGATCCTTAAAAACCAACCACAGTTGCATCTCCAAGGAAGGAGGCCAAGCAACAGGAAACAAAAAATCTGTTATCAGTGTTGTTCTGACAGAATATGAAACACTTCCAGGTTGGCATTAAAGCGGTATTTAAGCCTGCTTTTACTTTCTGGCTAAAAATGCAGTTTTATGAATAACTATAATACTTCACTTTTAATTCAAAAGGTGTTTTTAAAATGGTTCCTGTAGAGGAAGGTTCAGCAGAAGCAGAATCTGGTTCTATCAAACCTCAATCTCAACCTCAGGTAAGTGCTGGAATGCTGTGGAACAGCGAAGAGTCAGTTCACACAGATTTTAACCCCTTAAAGCCTGAACCATGGAATTGCCCAAATCAGTTTCTTAAATGGAGTGTTTATCGAACCTTCTGACAAATAAAAAAATAAAATATAGTAATTTGCATATATTAATTTTAATTTGTATCATATTTGCCACATCCAGCTATTTTTGTAATTTATTCCTAAAAAATGTAACGTGCAATTTATTTGGTTTATCTGGGGGTAAAACTATTACACTGATGTTTCTAGGAGTCCTAAAAACTTATGTATTAAATACATTACATTTGGCTTTAAAGGGTTAAAATATGTTTGTTTTTTTATGTACAACAAAGTCTTCTAACAAAGTTACACAGTTTAATTTACACATGGTTTGAGACCTCTTCCTTTTGTAACCATGTTAGCCACGTGGTGTTTTTATTTTATGTTGCTCATAAAACTCGAAATTACACAGAAGTAAAATTCCATTCTGTCCTTTAGAAACACAGGATTGTGCACAGTGTTTACATTATACTTACTTTCTGCCGACATCTCTATAACCTGTTAACAGTGTTTTTGTTGCAGTGAAGAAAGTTTTAGTAGTTCAGCTGAATTTGAACTCGTGATTCTGTCCTAAAAAAAGATACCGTGTTTGTTCTCCAAAAGTATTTTGTGACATTATTATATTGATCTTTCTGGACATTCAGCACTCTGCAGTCGTCCAGAATGAGTCACATGATGTTGCAAGTGAAGCCATCACAGATAACCCTCAAACAGACCAGGAGCCAAGGTAATTAATAAATTATTAAACCAGAAGATTTCTTGTAAGTAATTAGAAGTCAGTGTAATTGATTTTAGGTGAAATAGTTGATTTGTGAAGATTAACAATCTTTTACAAGATTTTTAAGTTTCTGGTTGTCGCTGTGTGACCTGTCAATGTTTTGTTTTGTTTTCTGTTCCTAGTTCTAATCCTACCACAACAACAACGACAAACAGCAGGGGCTTCCAGGAATGTTCTATCAAACAAGATGCTTCCAAGTACTTTTTGAATATTTTAATATTTGTAGTTGTATTTTCACTCAAATGTTGTTTCCTCATATGTGCATCATGTGAAAAAATAAGCACACCCTTACTGCCTTTACAGAAATTAAGAAAGTAAGTAGCATCCAGGTGCTGCTAATCAAATTCACTTGACTGTTCCAGAGCAGCTGAGAATAGTTTTAAGGCCAATTCCAAACAATTTGTCCATCATTCTACAGCGAGAAAGATTATTTACAAGTATACAAGACAGTTATTAATCTAAGCAGGAGTGGGCGTCCCACTAAATTATCCTAGTATTAGACCACTACATATAATACCTTGCAGGCCTCAGTTAGCATGTATAATATTAAAGTTCATGAAAGAACTTAAAAAAATGGAAGCATGGATTAGGTTACATCTTTTGTAATAAAGTCCTTAGGACAGACAAAACCAGATGCAACATATTATCAACACACACACAGCTCACAGCATGGTGGTGGCACTATGATGATTAGAGCTTCTTTACAGCTGCATGACTTTGCAGTCATTGAGTGGACTCCTCTGTATACCAGAGTATTGTAGAGGCCATCTGCCCAAAAGCTAAAATGTGCAACAGATTAATGATCCCAAGCACAACAGCAAATCTATAACAGAATGGCTGAAAAAAAAGAATCAAGGTGTTGTAATGGCCCAGTCAAAGTCCAGACATCATCAGCCCGACTAAAATGCTTTGACCGGATCTTAAAAGCACTGTGCATAAATGAATGCCCGCAAAACCTCAATAAACTAAAGTAAC